CCCCAAAACCCCAAAACCCCAAAACCCCACTTTACAGAAATATTGTAAAATAATCGAAGTTTTTTATAGTATTATATTCAAAATTTATAATTAATCTCATTAATAGTTTCAATCATAAATTTCACAAATGCATGTCCATATTTGCCTTTGATCTTTTCTTTTTCACATTAAATTCTTTCTTCATATTTTCTCCTAACTATCCCTTTATCATATCTTTTTGACTGGAAATTTTGCCTGTTTTATGCAGATTTTAATTTTAATTTATCACTTCAACCTCTTCATTAATCTTATTAATTTCATCTACAAAGACCTATTCTCTATCAGAATAATGACTTTCATTCTCTTTGTCGCCCTCTTCTTTGCCACCAATATGGCTAAAGCTAACACTTATCATATCAGATTTTTCGGCTTATGACTCTAGCTCTTGACCAAGTAAGCTTTCATGGTCTATCATCCTCTTATAATGTGTATGAGGGAATAGGCATTCTGGACAGCATTTTGGCATTTTAAAAGGAACTTTATGAGTTCTAAGTATCTGATAATGATAATAGCAACTTAAAGTGCAGACCAGAACTAATATTATTATAACTACAACAATTGCAATTAGGAAATAATGCATGTGATTAAATTTCCAAGATTTCATTTCCTATGAGATAAAGTTCTAGGAGTAATCTACAAAATCATTTCCTGATGCTACATCTTTGCAAATTGATTGAATCAACCTTGAGGTAAACTAGATTGGAATGCATGTGGAAAATAGATAAGAAGAACTCATTTCACCAGTGTCTGTGTCTAGGGTGGTCAGGCAATCAATAAATTTGCAGGAATTGATAGAATTTAGATGACATTAATGAAAATCACTAAGTGCACATTAAACGGCATCATACTTTAGAGTTTCTGAAAGTTGCATTTTCTCTGTTACGTAGCAAACTTCATCCTCAAAGTCTAAAGTAAAGTTGAGTGATTCTAGGGCATTATATTCATCTAATAAGCATATTTCCACTATCATCTTAGTGTCGCATAGTGGGATGTCTAGGATCTAGTTAACGTTTAGTGATGCTCCATTTTAATCATAAAATTCTTAATAAAATGGAGGTTAAGCTTCAATAGAGTCAAGAATTTTGATATTCTTAAGCTTTTCTTTGTGTTGTTGAAAAGTTATTGATGGCTTCAAGTAATGTGTCTACACCTCAATATTTCCACAGCCAAGGTGTAAATGCATCATGTATTCAATATTTCTCAAATTTTAGTATTAAGATTCATACCCACATATCATAATTTACTGAAGGCACATAATATACAAGTAGAGAGCTGTTATAAAAGATCTTTGAGATGATAGCTTATCCATGCTAATTTGAGAATCTCTCTCTTTAAAGATTAATAATATTATTTTTGAAACCTTAAATTTTAGTTATAGACTAATTCGAGCTTATGGGGTTTTGGGGTTTTGGGGTTTTGGGG